CCGTTGCCTTCGTAGTATAGGCCGTATTCCGTGGTGTCGCCACGTGAGTAACGCAGAAGTCAGGTGTAGAGTTATAGAGAGAAGACATAAATCAGTTGATGAAGTTATGAAACTTCATCGACTGAGATGGTTGGGACACATATTACGTATGCCTAGTCACCGATTGCCTCGTCACACAATGTTGACGGGAGCAGGTCCAGGCTAGAAAACGGCCCGAGGTGGCCAGACTAAAACATGGCATCAATGTATGAAGTCTCTGACTGTTGGTTTGAGCTATATGGGGCGATGCAGACTAGTCGGTTGGGGTCCGTGGGACAAGAGGAACCAGTGGTTGGAGACTCTAGGTGATACGCCTCAGAACCGATGTCAGTGACGCAGATGTATACATACATTATCTTCATCTTAACGACTCTATGCCGAATCTCACCATTTTCTCATCCTTCCTTTCTTTCTTTCCGCACTTTATATTTCTTTTCACTGGATTTTCTTATATTCATCTTGCGCCTTACTGCTTTTTACTCGATGTACTGATATGAGGTGTGGCAACTCGGACCGTTACGCAGTAATGCCTGGTCCTATGTTGATATCGATGATAAGCTCCGAAAACTACTTCAGTCTAATCTGATCACAATTAAGTAGACAATTTAATGTAGAATTTGGCATAAAAGTCCATATACCCATGTGGCAAAACTTCCTAGTGGCATCCAAATAAAAAAAGAATAATAAAGTGGTATTACAGCGAATAAAACGAAGTACGCAACAAAGTATCATAGACAGGTGAAGTTAATTAAAATACTCAATACCCCGAAAATGACAAACACTACATATATCTGCACCCTTCTCACCACTTTCAACTCATAAAAGGAAGATAATCAAACAATTAATTACTATTACCACAAGAAGCACAGCTGGAGGGAGACTACACCTCAGAACAGCGACCAAACTAACAACCAAAGAATCCATGAAAGCATTCGGAATCTCAGTCTAAAATTTCCCTCAGAGCTAGGAGGTATCCAGGTAGGCAGCGACCTTATCACAACCACATCAACTGACTTTCCCGGACGCATAAAACGCTTTATCTGAATTACACGCGAATAAACAGCGAGCCCTCTCTATCCTTGCAGATATTTCATCAATCACCAGTCCAATATGGCTGATGCACATTCGTAGCTAGGTGCTACGATCAACTACTTCACTCTAAACCGTTAGATAAAGCACCAGGGAAAACGAGTCCTATCGCCACAATTTTCAGTTGGTTAGGTTTCTAGTGGAACATAGAGATTCAGTAGCATGCCTCCATTCCACCCTCTTCTCTGCAGTCTTTTCAACCTCGATCCACGACTGTCCACAAGCTTTCATTTCTTCCTCACACCATCTCCTCCATGTCACCCTCAGCTCGAACACCCAACTCGTCGTTTTCCATTTGGGTCCCACTTCAGAGCTTGGCGCGAGATGTCCCCAAGTGCTCTTCTCAGTGTATGCACAATCCATCTCCACTCTCTTCTCCATATTTTTTGGGCGATGGGTTCCTGGTTGGTTCATTGCCCGACCACAGTCCCTTGTTAGTTATTCTTTCTGGCCATCTGATCTTCAGTATCGAGTTAGCGTAGGCGGCAGCTGTTGATGATGAATGTCTGTAGTTTGTCGGAAATGCCTTCCGTAACGCGCCAAGGCTATCAACTTACTTAACTGACTTAGTGTTGAAAATCCAGATCTTGTTATTTATGCTGAGTGGAGTGAAGTAGATCTCCACACTGATTTCAGATTAATGAAGGCCTGTCTCGCTGTCTTTCCAATCCTGGCTTAGACATCATCTGTGCCATCACCTGTAGTTGAAACGATACTGCCTAGATAAGTAGGTGAAAGAGGCTACTTCCTTTCGGTTTCTCCATTTCATGGTTATTGGTGCTTGTTGCTGTTGGTTAGGTATCTTCATCACCTCCGTTTTTTCTACATTCACCTGAGTCCCCGTCTTCGCTGCCTCATTCCTTCTACCAAAATGTTAATTTTCGCCTGTTGATCCGCAAACAGTTCTCCATTCTCATTCATTTCACCAAGTACATCTCGACTCATGATGAATTCTCTTCCTCTGTTGTCCGCTCCCAATTCGGCATTCATGTCACCCATTCGAATTTCAAAGTCACCATCTACAGTGGGATCTTGTCTAGTACTGATTGCAGTTGTCTACAAAATTCCTCCTTCTTCTCTTCATCTGCAGTTTTGTAGGTGCATAACGTAAAATCGCGTGATCGTAACTTTACTTCCTTTCGATTTGAATCTTGCTATCATGATCCTCATGCTGGAGGAGATTGGTTCCCACTGCATGAGAGAGAGCCTTTGATGTCCTCGGGGACATTATGATAGCCACTCAAAACTCAGTGTGCTACGCCCCGTGGTTGTCGTCTCAGTGACAATATCGGAGTAGATTATTGACTTTGTAGTTGGTAGTTTGGACAGTCCACTTCCATTCGATCTGCAAACTCCTTGCACTCCTATGCCATATCTTCTCATCTCTTTTGAAATCTGGGCAGTCTTGCTAGGTTAAAACATTGTGTGCACATTCCATGTCCCTATTCATCGAGAGAAGACATAATGGCCAATTGGCTTCCCGAAGGCTTTCACCAACCGGCGTCATTTCGTTTCTCCAATTCCAGCGAAGATTAAGTTAATCTTCTACAATTCGTCTCTGCTTCGAAGTTTCTTTAGCGACTGGATTGACTTTACGGGGTAGCGAAGCTAGTCACATGCCAAACCTCCCCTCCTTTCCCATGCTTAGAATCTGCTAGTAAACTATTGAAATTGCCATCCCGAAATTTGAAAATAGCCATCCAACGTGTCCAGAAGACTCCGCATGCTGTCAGTGTCGTCGCCTATCAGGATTATGCCATAAACCCATTCCGGAGAGACAGAAGACATCATTGTCGGATACCACTGAACACACACAACTTACCAGACACCTCACCATACGCTCTAACATACTCATGGGTCTTCGAGTGCAAAGCCTTCAACGGGGTGATGAACTTACCCAACACTCCTTTCAGTGAGAGACACTGCCATAAGACCTCACGACCAATGAGGTCGTGTGGCGCACTCACGTCATGGAGTACAGCTAGTGTCGAGCGTCGGTAGATGTTTCTCTGTCCCAAAACCTGGTGGATGGTGACTAGCTGGTCGATACACCCTTTGTGATGTCTGAAACCTGCTCAATTTCCTCGGGCTCGCTGCTCCTGAGCTCCAGCTAGAAGTTTGGTGACTACGGGACCTAGAATCTTAGATAGGATGTTCATCAGGCTGATTTCCTTTTGGTTATCACAACAGGATTTCTCCCCTTCCTCGAAGATGGGCACAGTCACTAGTTGAGACCACTCAGATAGGTCATGTTAAGCACCCATATGCCAGATTTCATCAGTTAGCCTGACGAATAACCCTCAGACGGTTTCTTTCATCATCTTCAGTAACAACCTATCTGCCTGTACTCACTTCAAGGCACTCTATAGCCTGCTTAATATCTGCAAGAGTTGGAGGGTATACCTCAAGGTTCAACTCAACATCTGACGCGATATCATGCAATGGCATAGTAGCTGGAGGTCAGATGAACTGTTTCTCAGTGTTCAGTCCATCGTTTCAGACATCTCTGTGAGTGGACCACAGATCCATACCCCTTCCTTCGTAGTCTCACTAATCACTGAACTTTTCGTCCCAGTCTCTTTCATAAGTCTGAATAGACATCTACCGTTAACTCAACAATTGCTGTTGCATTTCGCATCTCTTCAGATTTGGCTACCCCCAATGCATGCGTTCATTGCGTATACTTCTTGTCAATCCAGAATTCCGTTTCTCTCCGTCCTCTTTATGCTTGGAGCCTCCGGGGATGCTTTCACACGCATCCAGAAATTCGAATACATTGACGATTCCTAACCACTTTGTGACAGACAGTTACGGTGTGCAACGCTGCTTTAACATCAGACCGGAGATGGCTCTAGGCTTCTTCCGATTGAGTGATGTTCTGTTCTCTTAACTATCTAGCCGCTTCCTCACTGTAAGCAGCCTCAGTGTTCTCATCGTCAAGCAGCACTCACAAGTCTTTTTGCTTGAGTTTTTTAAGTTCATTAGGCGAAGACAACCGTGCTCGAAACAACACGTTTGCACGGCCAAACATTTGCTCCAGAAGGGCGAAAATCTTCAACGGACCCTCTCCAGACTGGCAGTAATCTAGTTCATGTGTCCGCCGTTGATTTGAGCTCGGTAGATGCTTCATCAAGCAGTTTCTCTTTGTGTGCTGCCCAGAAATAGGTTTTTTGAGGACAGCTGTAGCAGATGACTACCGTTATCTGTTGGTTCGGCTGGGATTCCGAAAGTGCCACTTAATGTCTTTCTGTCTGAATTAGACTAAGCACTGAAATCGCCTACTATGACAACCATGTCTCAACGTTCGGTTGTCAGTAAGAGTCTACAGTTCATGCTTCCGAACTGCAGTCAGTCGGTGCGCAAGCAAAGATTGCAAAGAGACAACGGCGAGTTTCACTATTCTTTATAGTGCCCACCACACCATTCAGTCACACAACGCATATGTCACTGTCAGCTGGGATTCAACAGAGTAGTGCAATTTATGCCTTCGAAACTGTTGCTATATGTTACGCATGCAAGAACTAGTACTCGAATCTCCAGAAACCCTCTAGGTGAATTTCAGATGTCGTTAAGTGAATAAAGCTAGTGAGATTCCGTATGGGTGTCTCACAAACACAGCACACATCCATAGCCCGAAATGCTAGAGTTTTGGTCAACAGAGTTTGCTAGACTTCATGGAGCGAGCAGACATTTAAAGCTCCAACATATAGTTTGCAACGCGGACCCACAAGACCAAAGATGGTGTTCTGTAAAATTAAATCGTTATCAAGAGCTGTAGAACTTAAAAGTTTGAAGTTAAATATATGGAAAACTGATAATGATCTGAGAGAACTCGAGTGCTTATGTACTTCCGGTGGCAGTTGACACTTCCACTCTACCCATACCATGTAGGATTATTTCTTTCGAGGCGATAGAAAAAGAAATAGGGTTAGTAATAGTAATTCATGACCGCACTGCCCAAATGATATCTGCTTGAGACTGGTCATATACGGCCTTATTGAAAGTTTGATATTTTGCTTTGTCTTATGAGAAACCATCTGCTAACCCATGTAGCCGGCCCCAGGGTAGGGAGAAAGTGCTGTTTCTAGCTACATTTTCGAAAAAGCTTTGTACACGAGAACGCAGCATCAGCACAGTACTTCTAGTTTTCCGGGAAAAACATCTTACTGCTGTAACACTCGTCCAGTCAGCAGTACGAATCGACCCTCGGACCTCCATCATAGCGTAGCAATTTATACCATGATGGCAAATGCTTTCTGTTTTACCACTAACCCACTGACCCTTCTGATACGATAGGACCTCGACAGAACAAGCGTTCCATCCCCAGTGTGATTTGCAAGCAAGAATAACCGAATCAGTGCAGCAGCTATAAGCCAGTTGAATCCATCACGCGTCCACATACAAGATGAACGACAGCAGTGGCAGGGTACATCATTGGCGAACACCAGTGTTTGTCGTTATTACAGATGACAATTTTCGATAAATTCAAGCGTGTTACCTAGTAGTAATCGTCTGAACCAATTGCGGATTCACTCCTAACGCTCACCTTGGACCTGCTTAGTTTCACAGGCACTTGCCACGTCTCGTATGCATAATTCACCTACAAGATGAGTCACGTAGTTTGGTTTCCCCCCAACTTCGTACAACAGAATATAAAATCTTATGCTTATCGTTACTAAACATTTTAAGCAATCTGAATCATATGTATTTACCATCGAATTTCCAGTTCGCAACGCGCAATAAAAGTGGAACAACCAATTTCAAGCACAGAATAAGAGGTAATAGACAATGACGGATTTCACTCAACATGCAATTATTTCAGAACTAAAAATTATACAAAAATAAACGAAAAGTGAGATGAAAGCCTCTAAGTTAAGCAATACCATAATGTTGCCGAATAATTCATAAGTAAAATATCTTCTAAAATAAATGAAATAATTTGACCGGCAATATTTATCTAAGATTCACATTTCCCACTTTTTGGGTGATATACAGAGCAGAAGGCTATAAATAACATCACATGTTTGCTAAGTACTCCCTTCAAAGTCAGAAACTGTCACATCACCTCACGGTCGACAGGTTCACATAGCCCCCTCAGGTCAAGGATTACGGCAAGTACTAGCCGCACTTGACTGTCAAAGGGAGAAAATCTGATTGGTCAACCTTTAATCGTATCCTCCATAATGCGACTTTTTCAGACCCACTCAGAAATCGGATGAGCTTAGACCCTAGGATTTTAAATACGATGTCAGTTAAACTGATTTTTTGTGATTATTACAAGGAGAATTCTCTTATTATAAAATCGTGATAACCAGCCATCTAAATGAGTCTATTGGAACTATTTGTGATCCCTACGAATTATTCAGTACCGCCTTTTCTCTGGTCAGTAATTTTTTACCTCCATTCTTAAAACATTCTGGTAGTGAATCATTAGTCCTCACTGTTTTGCATCACTAAGGGTTTAAATAGGCCTTCTCAGACACAGTGAGGCTTGGAGTGTCAGCAGCTACAGTGCATTCAAATTTGGATTGAATGTACTTCAACTGAAGCGTGATCTCAATCCAGCTGAACTGTTGTTCAACACGTCCCAACCAACGCTTCAGCCACCTATATAAAGAAGTTGGAAGTGACCATTTGGTGATAATTTCACTGACTATCGTCTTCCTCATGTCACTTATATTAGTAAGCATAAATAACTGCTAGGTGAAATCAAGCTGATCCTTACTGCATCTCTTTCTCTTATTCAAGCCAAAACTACTTGAATTAATTGTGAAGACTACACGTCAGATTACCATTCTATCGCTTACGCTCCATACTGTAGTCAGAGACCGCTGGAATAAGTTTCCTAACATAAATCTGTGCGGTAGAGATTGCAGAAATCCATCAAATAATGAACGCAGATTGCCAGCAGTCTCTACAGCAGAAACAATCACAAACGAACCAACATCAGCAACAGAATGTCTATCCATTATGGGTGAATTCCGAAATGCATCCTCCCTCCATAGATATTTATTCCTGTAAACATCCACGCTGATCATAATGCAATCCAGCCAACCATTCAATAAAAGCCAGTGATCTCCCAAAACTATGGCTTGCATCATGGACGCGAGACATCATGTTGTGATAACCAAAAGGAAATCAGCCTGATGAACATCCTATCTAAGATTCTAGGTCCCGTAGTCACCAAACTTCTAGCTGGAGCTCAGGAGCAGCGAGCCCGAGGAAATTGAGCAGGTTTCAGACATCACAAAGGGTGTATCGACCAGCTAGTCACCATCCACCAGGTTTTGGGACAGAGAAACATCTACCGACGCTCGACACTAGCTGTACTCCATGACGTGAGTGCGCCACACGACCTCATTGGTCGTGAGGTCTTATGGCAGTGTCTCTCACTGAAAGGAGTGTTGGGTAAGTTCATCACCCCGTTGAAGGCTTTGCACTCGAAGACCCATGAGTATGTTAGAGCGTATGGTGAGGTGTCTGGTAAGTTGTGTGTGTTCAGTGGTATCCGACAATGATGTCTTCTGTCTCTCCGGAATGGGTTTATGGCATAATCCTGATAGGCGACGACACTGACAGCATGCGGAGTCTTCTGGACACGTTGAATGGCGATTCGCGAATTTCAGCCTGCGATTCTCACCACCCAATTGGAAATTGTGGCTATAGGATCGGTCTTCAATGGTACTTTATCTAACGATTTAGAGTGAAGTGGTTGAACATATCACCTAGCTAAGAATGCGCATCAGCCATAGTGGATCAGTGGGTGACGAAGTCTGTGTACAGATACATGAGGGTTGCTGGCCTTTCGACAATTTACGCAATTTATCGCACCGGTGTGTTATCCGATTGTCTGTTAGTGTAAACACCGAGTGTAATTCGCAGTCTTCTTAGCATAGGCCTTTTGTCATGGTGTCACTACATCAGTAATGTGGAAGCCAATCACAGCGTTTTAGGCGGTATAGGAAAGTTAGTCGATGACGCTGTGATCCTTCATAGATTTAGGTGTCTGGGACATGTGTTCGGAATCGAAATTCACTCAGCTATCTTGCGCATATTCCTGCAATAGGCAACGAACCACACCAAGTATGTGAGGGCTAAGGATACCACCTGGCTACCCAAACCTCGGTAGGTGGAGAGGTGTTCGTACGTGTGACCAAATGGTTGAAAACCAACTCTCTAAGCCAACGAGTCACATGAATACGCATGCCAAGTCACCATCTGCCTTGTCTCCCAATTTTAGTTGAAGTAGGTATATGCTGGAAAAATGTTAGAGGTGGTCAGATTGAAACTTGGCGACTGTCTCTGAAGTCTTTGACTGTTGGTTTGACCTGTTTAGGGGAATGCAGACCCCGGCTGGGGTTCATGTGACAACAGAAACTAGTGGTTGGAGGCTCGAGATGATGTAGTTCGTACTCGATTCTAGTATTCTCCCATTCCTCATTGGTCTCTTTTGACTACTTTCCACCACTTTTCACCGCTTTCTTTTTTATTTCCCTATCTTTCATCTTGATACACTTTCACTCGATGTGGTGATATGATGTGTGGCAACTTCCAACGATACACAGGAACCCAAGGTCCTCTGTTGATATAGTCTTTATATCTAACTGAGCACCTCACAGTGGGACGATATCATTCGTGTACTCAACATAGATGAGTCTGTAACATTAACAGATCAGCGTTATCAGCAAACCACCCTAAGAAACCATGCAGCCCTGCTTTTAGGATGTTAGTAGCACTCTCCGAAATACGGTCCAAGAGTTCAGCTCTGTCTGGCAAATGGAAGACAGGCCTATTATACTAGTCTTGAGCTGATAAGTGATCAGGAGTCGATAGATAGCCTAAAAATAAAACTTCTACAGAGTGCATAGTACGCTGTAATTTTAAAATATTAGGTAACAACTGACTCATGATTGAATGAGTTAATGTTTAATGCTTTTTAACAGTGCATTTGAAGACACCCAACCAAAAGTCAAATGATAACGAGTGAAGAAAACAAGATAAAATGAATAAGATACATAGTAGTAAATTAAATTTAAGAAACATCCAGCCCACTATCCTAGACAAAAAACTATTTTATCTCACTAACTTCAGCAACCTGATGTTTTCTTCATCTAATTCTTTCTTAACTGAAATCATACTGAAATGGTTAAGACTGAATAATTCATAACCTGATGGTCAAAGTTGGTTGAAGTTTAAGTTAATTCGAACCAGTTTAGCCCACTTATCCAACTACGTGGTACAGTGCCAATACGAGTTTTAAAGAAAAATGTGCTGATATGAATAATAAACCCAAATTAAGGGGTTCCAAATTCTACATAAGGTTGTATATTAAAGACATATTCTGCCTGGTACACCTCTCACTAAAATTACTTTTATGAAGACAAATAACTAATCGTGAAACCATCATTCAAAGTACAAGGAGGTAAAGAATGATGGTAAGAAGTAAGTTGAAATATTATAAGTGTACATTAGAAGTGAATCGGGGCATTAATAAGAAGAAACGAATGATGGCAGTATCATATTACTGAACACAAATAACAGATAAACGTCATGGTTAGGATAGGACGACTAAAATATTCAGAAACGCATTCAGAAGCTTTCCACGCAATTAGATTTCATAAGTGCGGAAAAGCCTCAGTATATCACAAACCTTGTTTGGGTCAGCTTTATTCATGAAACCATCACCTAAGAAAGCAATCACAGTAAACTTTGTGGTATATCTTCAACAAACCGATATTTGAAGCCCCAAGCAACATCCGCGACCCCTCACTAGTATCTGAATGCCAGTGCATACACTAAATATTACTAAATCAGCTTAAAAAATACCTCTTGAAACTTCTTTTGTAGACGCAGATACTCTTTAAATGGAATATTCATATCACTAGATAACCACATGTCATATAACTGACGAAGGTGTCGGTCAGTTAGAATTTCTTTAGCCTTCTGGATCTTCTGAAAAGATAAAGCTTTGAAAAATTGCAAACATGTTTAAAAATCTACTGGTATTTAGTTCCGTATTCTTGTCTGGATGGAACTCCCGAGCTTTTAAGCGATATTCATAGAGGATTTGATCTTCCTACTGAATGTTAATTGAGCGAATTCAACAAACAGATGAATCTTGAGAGACACCAAGCAACTCGTAGAAATTGTCCTTGATAATGACCACATCGGAATCGTCTGTCTTCATTATGAAACATAAAAAGATAAACAGTGACCCAGTGGCAACCGACACAGGAATAAATCCACTTCACTGGAATTACAAACGACGGATCTGAAAGGGGAAAAAATTGCGATGAATCTATTTTAAAACACACCATAACAATGATTGCAAACGTTGAGCTGATACTATGAACTTATCAAAAGTTCCAGCTTATCGGCATATTCACCACATCATTAGATTGCAATTGACTCTAATAAATCAACCCCGACGTATTCAGAAAGCGGAACTCAATGCGAATGAAGTGTGCAAGTCTCATAACTAACATCTTATTTCGTTGAACCAAATGGGTGCTCACAATCGAAACCCAAAATGGATAAATGTCAACAGCACGTCTACGTCTTTTGCTTAAGTTTTTTTAAGTTCATTAGGCGAAGACACCCGTCCTAGGTATATACCTAAACGTGGAACTATCATTCTCTGCATATGCATCGACCAATCACAATCGAGAACATAAGGATAAAGCAGTTATAACGGAAAATGGTACTTTATTCTCAGTGTATAGATCTGTTTGAAATGAGGAACGAAAGTACCTGGGTTTTCAACAGATTTATCATCTTTGAAACAATACCATTGTCTATATTCCTACTGATACACGTGAGACTAACATATTCTCTCATGATCCTGTTGAGGCGAATCCATGGTTTCCACATTGCTTGCGTGCACTTCAGTTGTGCGAGCAACGAACTGCTTCTTGTGAACAATAACTTGATGAGAGAACCCAATCAGCCAAAAAAAGGGAAAATAATTCTAATTTTGGGGAATAAGGGGGAAGCTCCATGTTAAAATAAAGCGACATTAGTGGGGAAATGCAGCCGATTTCTCCTTTTCATTCGCTTTATACCACTAAAAGTCGCTTTCCGATTTAGACCTTGTCTAATTTTCCTCCTTAAATACGCATAATTCCCCTAATTATCAACTTTTCCCTCTTAAATATGAGCTTAAGCTCATACTAGATGATGGCATATTTCATTATATATAACTTCCAAGAGTCATAGTATATTGTTGTAGTTCATCATGTCTATGGAACATCAGAAACATTGCACACGGACATAATGAATGACTTTCACCTCAGTATCCTCAACCCAATTTGTCATTCCCAAGGTTACGCGTCGCTTAAGTTCACTTGGACGGCAACGACTTTCATATTTAAACCGGAATAACGTTTAGCCGTCGATCTGAGGCTTAAATAAGTCTTCAGCCAGAAAAGATACTATCTTTGTTGTCAATAAAGGTAAATTGTGTTCAAACGTGGTAATACCATATTAACCCCTTAAAATGCTTCACCAATACACGTGTCTTTTGATGGCCAAACAAGTTTTTGACTGGTAGGAGGTTAGAAAGTTACTAACTTATGTGTAGCATAACGAAAAACATCAACACCATATTCACACCGATTAATGACAAACTTTTCAAATGAGTAACAGACCTTCAAAATGTGTAGCCGCGAAGCAGTAAATCAAGTCATTGTGTATCCAATTTCTGCTTTCCTAGCTGGTACAAACCAGTCAACTTCTCCCCATTCCTTTGTAGGTTTATTTTGAGATTCTCTAGCTCCTCGATGGATCCAATCACAGTAAATTAGAACACTCGCTTGCCGTTCCGCTGGTAAATATGGTTGATCAAATATCCAATAGTGATAGTAAGAGCGTTGAAAACTGATATTTTCTAATCTCTCGCGTCTATTTCTTAAGGTTTGCTTCGAGTTGTCCTGTTCGCTCCCCTAGTGGAAGAGATCTTTTCTGTTTGGGTGCTTGGTTAGGGGGAATTGTTACTGAACCTAAGACACTGATGCAGATGATTTATTGGAACATCATGCCGCCAGACAGTGTTTCATTCATCAACAATCATACAGTTTTGTTAAATTCTCCAGCTTTCGATCTCTTGTTTCGTAGTCTTTTGGCTAGGCTCTTTAAGTGACGGTAGAGGCCTTCAAATAAGTGCAAAACTTGGGCACTGTGGTGGAATGCAATTCCTCAACAAATTTTTTAATTGGATTATTAATACTACTGTATCACTGTGCCACAAATCTAATATTGAAGTGGAGCAGCTTCTGAGACATTGTATATCTGCCTGAAGCTTATCTGTCAGAGATTTATAGGATGACTGGTTATGGGAACTGGGGAGTTGTTGATAAGATCAGTGGACACTGTGTGATACCTAAGGATGCGAGTATTCCACAAGTCTTCAATATCCAATATTCACACTATTAGGTGGATTCAAACGCTAAACTTCATGTTTTGGTAAGAGAGGAAGATCAGTTATTGTGTTCTGTATTCGTACTTTTGGGAAACGCTCTTCGTATAAAATGATCACTAGTCTGATCCTGGTTTCGAGAGGTCCCAAGAAGTAAGGTAACCTCCTCTGTTTTTCTCCTGTGGCATTCGTTGTCAGTAAGAAGGTGAGGAGCCCCTACTGTGAAGCCTTTCGGCGTCATAAGCCTATAAGTATCGGCCCTAGTTGTATTTCGGTGCCAGGGAGGCGCACTACAGACCGATGAATACCGCCCTTCTTTGAATTCTGCTTGTGCGTGCCAGTATCAATCATCTACTTTTTGCCAGATTAGATAAAAAGGAATAAATAGGTGGCTTGGAAGTCATTATCGGAATACCCGACAAAAATGAATGTGGATTAATCTTAGTAAGTTTGAATTTCCTCGTTTCGTGGGGATTCACTGACTACGACGCAGTAGTTAGAGGAAGATCGTCAAAGTTCTCAGGAGGTTTAACTGAACATCAAGGTTAAAGAAAGCAGCTCCGGGCGAAGTCCAAGCTCTAAATGACCAGTCGTCGCTCGACTTATTTAAGAAACTATGCAGTTTTCTGGGGTGGGATAGCTTTCGCCGTTCCTTCTGTGGGGACCCTGCCACCGTCTGAACTGTGATCCCGTTATTATAGTCTGTTTGCAGAAGCAATCCAGTCGTCTCCAGAAGCGTAAAAACTACCTAAAGAGGTATCACTTTATTCAGGAGAAAAATCAGCGTGGGCTTCTAGCCGATGAAAGACACTGCCAACATCACTACTGACGCGATTTTGCAACAGGAGGTAAGTACTGAGACAAAACTGCCTGCATCTTTTCCAAACTGTTCGAACCCAACCCACTGCGGTTACAACACACTTACCAATCGTACGTTTCGTGTACATGTCGGAAGGAACTTCTTTTTCGCTTTTCACGGGTCACAGGGCTTTGAGTAAGGCCTCACCCGCTGATTAAGCTGACCACTTCCCATATAAGATTATGTGCCCACAATTTATACTAGGGTTTGCCTCTAATATTCAGCATGCTAAGTTTGCCGCCAGCGAAGCTGCTGAAACGTCGTCACGCATAAGTTAACAACACGCTGTACCTGGACATTGTTTACCAGCATCCATTACAATAAAATGGGGAGATATAAAATTGCAGGGGCCAATATCTTTGAAACCTGCTTCTGCAGCTTCTGAAGAAGCTCAGTTAAACACTATCACAGTCACATGCGAGGTGCGTCCTTAAACGCTTGGCTCATTTTTTCTCGGAAATATAAGGCACTTTTTACTTGATAAGCTGCGCAATCTTTCACAAATGGGGATCAGGGCTAACATCGGGCCGGGGAGCGGGAAAGTTTTGGCCTCAAACATTGATCAGAAAGCTGAATATAGGGGGATACCCTCCCCAGCCACCAAAGGGTAAAAGTTGGCCACCACACCAAGGTTCTTCTCAGTCACTTCCCAGCCGTACGACCATGCCTGCACACGTGCATTATGACATTGTTGAAGCACTGATTCCTTTTTAGGCTTCATTTATCTTCTCGCATTCACGGGTAGATTTACTCCCTTTCTCGCTGCCATTACACTCCCAATCACTTTATCCGAAATGATTGCTAAGGCGTCGTTGGACGACTAAATTGTGAGTTTCCTCAAACCTCTGAGCTGACGAGACTTTGCATCCTACAAGTTGCATTAATTTAGCTCCGTTTTCGTACTTTCCCTTTATCTGAATGTGACCTTAAACCACATCAAACGATAGCGGGAAGTGTTAGTGTGAAGAGACCTCGTGGTGGATGGCAGCTCGCTTTAGAGCGAACAAAACTAAACCAAACGACGCTACCCAAATCACTTAGCTCAAACTGCAGACCTCTACTGAGTAAGGTGGACTAATTACAGCGCCTCCTATGTTCTAAGATTTCTCGTACTGCTGCGATAGTAAAACTGCAAGAAACATGGTTGCGCACTCAGTATGATGACACTTTAGTCCCTTTAACTGGTTTCAGAATGCTTCATCAGGATCGGTGCAGCTCTACGAGAAAGTACGGTATAGGAGTAGCTACTCTTATCGGCGCTCAGTAGTGTTCATCAAATTATTCATTTTCCTCTTATTCTAATGACCATGTAGACTGGATCACCGCTAGGTGTAATCACAAAGATATGGACAAATTAGAATTCCAAGTTGTTATTCATCGAAGACTGACATCAGTTGGAGGAACAAAGGAAACCTGGGAGCACTGGACAGCTGTTTCGTCCTAGTATGGGACTCCTCAGCAGTGCGCACCCACGACCCCACCAGCAGGGATCGAACCCGCGACCTTCAGGTTCCGCGACCAGCGCGTTAACATTGAGCCACTGGGTCGGAATCCAATGCTCCATATTTCCAACTTCTGTTAGCTCACGATATAGCGCGAACCGCCACCTAATGTCATCGTTGAGTATTTGTCCTCACGGCCATCAGGCTTTGACTCCACCGGTCACGACTTGTCATTGGAACTTCGGGAATACTTCTCGAAGCTAGTCACCAACGGGCACTAGTTCAATTAAATTTTGAGGGGGTTGTGGAGATTTGGAAATATTTCAAGTTGTTATTCATCGAAGACTGACATCAGTTGGTGGGGTCGTGGGTGTGCACCGCTGAGGAGTCCCATGCTAGGACGAAACAGCTGTCCAGTGCTCCCAGGTTTCCTTTGTTCCTCCAACTGATGTCAGTCTTCGATGAATAACAACTTGAAATATTTCCGAATCTCCACAACCCCCTCAAAATTTGAATTCACTTACATCACCAATATCTGTGTAGCTCCCAGAGGCAGCTATTTCGGACCAACTGGATTCTTTGGGAAGTTGGCGGGGTTCTTTGTCCCGACAGCGTGTGGTCATCGTCTATTGTTAGCAGTGATTTTGACTGTCGTGACCGCTTCTTCTTGTGCTCTCTCGGTCACGGTGACCTGGGCAGTTTTTCCACCCGCTCCGATCGTCCATTAGACCTAGTCTTTGTCATCAAACCTGGTACTCATGAAACCCAGAAATATGCACCACTGATGGGCTCAGATCGCTCTATTATACGCGTCCTACAAAAATATTTGGCAAAGAGAAGAAGAACAATTTGACGTACTAATCTAAGAAGACTAATCGCAGGAGGCCCTAATTATGGCAATGTACGTCAACTAAGATCCATGTTGCAGAACACCGAAAGGGAAATACTTGAAAGCAATGCCCTAGATGACATACACGATGCCATTACATGGCATCATAAAGTTTGCCCAACATTTTATGCCCAACTGGAATACTTTTTCTAGGGTTTGAAGAACTTTCTTCCACTCATTTGAGAAAACGGTGGCAGGAAAAGGAAACACTGTGCAAATAGAGCGATAATACTGGCAGTAAACGACTTACTGGCCTGACCAAGTTGAAACTAAAAAAGTCTAAACCTAACGCATAACCAGAACGTTGTCATGTGAGAACCCTTCTAGCGTATCAGGACATTTTACCGGCAAGAGGAAACTCAGAAATGAAGCCTTCGAAAACATCCGTGCACCTAATGAATCATTCAAACGTATACCTGCCAATGTTATCTTGTCCAGTTTTTCATACATAAATGGAACCAGCTTTCCTAAATCCACTGAAACAGATGTGTTATATGTATATACTCTATATATTAAACTCTGCGCGCACAATCACATATATAAACTCAACCATACCTATTTACCTTGTGTGTTGTGTATAGATACTCATGGTGGACATTGTCTTCTAAATCAGTGTTGCAATGGCCAGTAGGTATCATGCTCCTGAAGCCAATAAACATTTCTAAAATCACGGTGATCTTCACCATACATCGTTAAACCACCGTTCCAAATATTGATTTAAAAGTTTCACGCGGGGTGAAAATATATGGCATCAGATGCTGAGAATCTTGTACCGTAAACATACTTATGGTACAGAATGAAGTAAATATAACGTTATCATTATTGCTGTCATAAAAACTAGCTTCGCGACTTTGGTGTCTCTTCAGCATTCACCGCTGATTGGTAGGCACGATTAGAAAGCCGCTCATTCCAACACCCCACGAACATTTTTGAGACTAAGCATAAGTGCATGACAGAATATAATCCTGTCCTCAGCGGCATGGTTGAGTGTTTGCACACGCAAAGCACCTCTGCCTTTAAGGAAAATGAATGGTACATGA